ATAATGCATTTTATTTGTTAGCGCCTTTCAAAACACCCAAGGACACTTTACAACATTAAAAACACAACATTAACAATAAAAAGGCAATAAAAAACACTAAAATTAAAAGAAAAAAACCAATAAATTAAAGTGAGAAGGCTAACTTGAACAGATGAGTTTTGAGTTGTGATTTGAAAGTAAGAAGAGAGTCAATATTACGAATGTCAGGGGGAAGAGCGCTCCAGAGTTGGGGAGCAGAGTGAGAGAAGGCTCTGTTTCCCATAGTGCTGAGGCGGATAACAGGCACGTTGAGAACGGAGGGTGAATGGGTAGTGATGTAAGGTGCGAGGTTGTGGACGGCCTTGAATGTGAACAGCAGGATTTTAAATCGAATTCTGAATGTGACTGGAAGCCAGTGAAGTTGTTGTAAAACTGGGGTGATGTGGTGAAATGAGGTCGTTTTGGTGATGATGCGGAACAGCTGAATTTTGAACCATTTGAAGTTTACGGAGTGATTTGTTCGGCAGACCAAAGAGGAGAGAGTTCAATTYGAGAAATGACCAGACTGTGAACCAAGACAGAAGCAGATGTTTCGAAGGTGGAAATATGCAGACCTGGTACTATTATTGATGTGAGAGTGAAAAGAGAGAGTGCTGTCAAGAATGACACCCAGACTCTTGACCTGAGGGGAGGGAGAAACCAAGGAGCTGTCATTGGTGAGTTAGAAACTGTTAACTTTAGATAAAGTGGATTTGGTGCMAATGAGAAGAAACTCAGTTTAGAGACATAGAKACAAACATTCAGTCTCACCCACACMTAGGTGCAGTTTAGAGTTACCATTTAACCTAAAATGCATGTTTTTGGTCGGCAGGAAGAAAACYCGAGTAGCCATAGGAAACTTAGATGTGAAGAAGAATGCATTAGCTCCACCCAAAAAGACCAGGGGGTTAAAATCGGTGACCTTTTTGTTATGAGGGAACAGTGGTGACCTTTGTGTCACCCCATTCTGTGGTTGTCTGTCCTAAAATGTATTGAAACAATTGTACCTCTTTGATAAGGTCTTTAGAAGCTTTCCTTTTGTGTTGTTTTGTTTATGGGAACTGGTTTWTCAATTACAGGGAAACAAGCTATATGCAAAAGTTGTTTCCAGTGAACAAAACCATTAAAAGATAACGAAACCCACAAACACCACACCACTCGTCAGGTTCAGCTGCCTTGTTTGTGTTTCAGATTTATTTTCTGCCAAGTTCAACTTGCTCAGAGCTGCTGAGCCGTCAAAAGAGGAATTGGATCATCGACTCCTTTGAGATCGAAGAGGAGCATCCAGGACCATTCCCCTACGTCCTGGGCAAGGTGAGACAATCAAAAAAGTGGTCCAACTCTGACCAAAAACATCCAAAAACACTTATTTTTACACATTTAAACACAAGCCCTGAAAACACTCATTTATATTTTCAAAACTATTAGTCTCCTTTATTGGACAATAAAACGAAAAAATCAATCTTTTTGTTCTCCTGCAACTCAAGTAAATGACTTGTTTTGTGTTTCAGTCCAAAACGAATGTCCTGGTATGTTTTTGAGATGTAAGAAAGAAGAAAAAACATGACAAAGAATTTCAAAATATTTTTTCGCTGTTACTGTGACTCACTGTATTCTGCATAAGTCAACCAGGAAAAAGACGCGATGCGAGAAATAATATGAAAACACACGCACAACAAAAATGAAAGAAGGCGTTGCGTAAACGTGCACACCTTAAACAAATATTTCTTTAAACTCTTTCCGAAATGTTTAACCTTCAGGTTTTAAAAGAAGCAGTCTCTCAGCATGCCAAACCTCGAAGCATAAACATTTTCACACTCCTCCAGTTTCCTGTCGTCGTCTGGTGAAAAAAARCGCCGCCAATTTGAAAAATGAAACTCGTTTTTATCTTCAGCTCTTTGCCAGACTCTTGAAAGTTATAGACTGAAAAATAGGTTGTAATTCCACCCACCTTGACTAAAACCCCAGCTTGAGCTGAAAAAAGAAAGAAAAGAAACCCCACAGTAAGGTGCTGCCACCACCGTGCTTAATTATAAGAATGTTGTTTTTCTGATTAACCTGAACCAAACATACCCTTTGATGTTGTGGACAGATCAACAATCAAATATTTTCTTTTAAGGAGACTTGATCAATACTTTAGCTGAGCCTGGATGTTGTTCTTCATAAGAAAACATTTCCATACCGCTGTGTCTAGACATACATGATGCTGATGTCAAATGTAGAATCCAACCAGTACTTGTTAGTTAGTTTCCTGCAGCAGTGCAAACCCTGGTAAAAAGTATGGAATCACCAGTCTTGGATGAGCACCCATTCAGACATTTCATTCTGTAAAACAAACTCAGATCAAAAACAAGATACAATAATAAGGTCATTCCAAAGTGCAACTTGTTGGCTTTCAGGAACGCTCAAAGAAATGAAGAGAAAACATTGTGGAAGTCAGTGAATGTTACTTTTATTGACCAAGCACAGGGAAAAAAGTGGAATCACTCAATTCTGAGGAAAAAAAGTATGAAATCGTGAAACACAGACAAACAAAAGACCATTCAAAATACATCACTAGTATTTAGTTGCACCACCTTTGGCTTTTATAACAGCTTGCAGTCTCTGAGGCATGGACTTGATGAGTGGCAAACAGTATTCTTCATCAATTTGGTGCCAACTCTCTTTGACAGCAGTTGCTAGATCAGCTTTGCAGGTCGGAGCCGTCTTGTGGACCATTTTTTTTCAATTTCTACCACAGGTTTTCAATTGGGTTAAGATCTGGACTATTTGCAGGCCATGACATCGACTGAATGTGTCTTTCTCCAAGGAAT